ACCAACCATTTTGCTCAAATCTACGAGCAACACCCCCACACGTATGCATATTATCCACTTTTTTAAAAAAATACGAATCAATCAACACCTCCATGCCACATTACAACCCTAGACGACGATCCATACATAAGCGTTATTTGTCATCGTTCTTCGAATAATTCACTGCAAAATCACACTCAACTTCAGATTAGCCAATGCAATGCGAACGCCGCACTCATCTTCAAATCTCTGACCAACCTATGTATAATCCGCTTCCAATAGCGGACAACAAGCTCCTCTGGTTTGGGATAAACTTAGCAACAACCACCAATAATCACATCGTTACAAAGAATCTACAAATTACAGATCATCCTGCAAGAATTATCATCAACAACCTCACATCTCTTAATCACCACAACAACATCAACAACAGGACACCACCCTAACAAATTACCTTGAAAGCATATTCCCCAATCTCATCCATTCAAACATTCCATTAGAAATATCGATAGAGAAATAAACAAAATTCCACATAATTATTGAACTTCGGCACTATTTTCTCAACACTTCATGATACTAATCCTCACTAATCTTATGCGCACACGAATTAACTGTGTTTGACTACATAAAATACCCTCGTTTACAAAACACCAACAACAACAATTGTTCACAATCCAAACATGTAAATTAAAGTATACAACTATCGAGTACCACAGTGCACAATTTAAATTCCAAACTGCAAATATACATCTAAACATATCAGTATCAAACACAGGGAATTCACCATTTCCAAACTACATTACAAACATATTACACTATACCAATCCAACAAATCAAATCATTCACTATATCACATACAAAAATCAATAAATAAGTATCAAATAAACAAAATTTATCACAAAACAAAGAACTAAACATCATTGCAACACAAACCAGACTATCACGCAATTGTTATCTATTACATCATTATGTATCGACAGATACAAACGACTACAACACAGAGTATATATATGTTTTATGTATATATCGCCAGATACTACTACAAATAAATATGTATCAAGATTACAAACCAGATCAGAGAAAGGAGAGAGGAAGAAAGAGAACGTACGCAGAGATCGCTGTACAAGAGATTCAATCGCAGAACTGCCACCTAACAGACATGAGATCGACCAACGCCAATGAGATCGCCAATAACAAAGAGATCGAGATCGCAGATGCGAGATTTGATTTTTTTTTTTTGAACGGAGCAAATATTTGATTTTTCACATATATATACATCTCAAAACAAAGGGTAATACAGTCATTTACAAAATATGAAAATAAAAAACGGGACCTCTGGGTATAAAACTTAAAAAACTGTGGACCTATTAATCTATTGAAAATATATTGGGATTAGAAGGGAAATAGATCCCCTACATAAGACTACATAGTAATTTTTTCAAAAAAAAATGTTCAGGCCCACCAGCCCATCCAAGGCCGAATACCCCATGGGTTTAGGCCTAATTTTTTGGCCCAGCTTGAATTTTGGCTGGTGACAAGGCTCGACATGAGCTGGCCTGAGTTAAATTTATACCCCTAACCACAACTGACACCCTTCTTTGCCATCCTCAATCTCTCTCCCGCCTTGGCTATCACTACCTCCTTTCCAACATCCCCGTTGCTCTCATAGGACTCTCAATCCTACCAGATCAGAGAAAAAGTAGGGGGATTGGAGAAAATAAGTGAGGGTGTCAATAACCAAAGTTGCAAATGGAATTGAAAAAATAAGAAACATATTGGTAAATTCAAGACAAATGTAGAAATAGTTTTGTCCAGTCATTCCGTCTATTTGCAATTACTCTCTTTATTCCATAATCTTTTTTGAAAAATTTTAATTTGTAAAGGAGACACGTACGTAATCATTATACTTTCATTTAAATTTTAAAATATTTTTTTATTCCTATTTTTAAATCTATTTATAATTACTTGACAATTTTGAAAACTTCTAAATTTAAAGGTTTGACTTTTTAGAATGGATATGAATTTTTGGACAACAAAAAATAAAATAATAAACTAAAAAAATAGGACAGATGAAATATTTTTCACTAATACAATGAACTGCAATTTCCATTTCCATAAGGCTCAATTTGTTTAAGATAAAATAGGTAGAAAGATGAGGGTAAGGGAAAAAGATTTGTTTGAGTTGTATTTTGAGTTTGTAGGGTTTAAAATTATGATTTGAGTGTAAAAAATTTGTTTGGTAAAGAGTTTTAAAAATAATTTTAAAAAGAGTTTTGATTTGAGTGGGGAATTGTTGATGTGACATTTGATATTTGATACAAAAATATACAACTCATAACTAAAAATACAACTCAAAATTATTTTAAAGCATATAAAAAATTTTAAAATTTTCAGAAAATATTTTTTTCGATTATATAAAAATTAACATATAAATTGCAAAAAAAAAAAAAAAAATCACTATTCTGGTCAATCGGTCGGAAGACCGATCAGGCAAAATTTTCAAAAAAAAATTCTGAAAAATGCGGCTGAGATAGAGCTCTCTACAGAGTTTTGGAAACGTGATTCCAAAACTCCTACCAAACACCATACTTGAATCAATGTGTAGAATCATGATTTGAGAACACAACCAAACACAACCTTAACTTTAATGAGTTTGTTTAGTTTGAAAGTAGAAAGTAGAAGAAAACTAATTTTCTTGCACAATATATTAGCATTTTAATTAATTTTAAATTTATTGCAAAAAAAAAAAGAAAAAAAGAAAAAGAAAAATTGAATGTGTGAATTATATATAACTAAACTTTTAAATTTTTTTTATCTTTTTCTTTTAAAATTTTTATTTAAATCAAATGTTTGTAATAAAATATATTTTCTTTCATTTTTACTTTCTACTAATTTTTTTTTTCCTAAAGGAAAAATCTCAGAATCCACACAAATATAAGTGATCAGAAAGAAACTATAATATTTGTGATGGTATGATATTTGGCCCTATTAATAATGGAGGAATTATAATGCAGTAGTACAGGGAAAAAAAAAAATTATAAAAATAAACGAAATACAAGTGATTTTGTAATGGAGTGGAAGTGATTTTGAAAAATTATGACACTTGCACCTCTCTATATTTGTGTAAAAAAAAATTGTTTGTCCCACTGGTATGTAATACTCCCTTTAATAATTAAAAATTATTAGAAACTCCCAAATTAATTATTAAATTGAACTACAATGATGTGATGTGATAAGAGCTATAGATTTCATACAATTAAACGTATGACAAATTAAAAAGAGACATATATCATAACACGTGATTATGGATCAAATTAAAAAAAAAAAATTTATATGAATAAAACATTTACCCCTAATAATTTTCGCTAGAAAAACAGCTGTGATATAGACCCTTAGCACCCCTACACACCCCACATATTTGTAAAAGAGACGGAGGAGAGAACAAATTGATTGAGAGCTGTGAGGGTCAAAAAAAAAATTATGAGAGTCCCAAGTATTTTTTAAAAAAAGAAAAGAAAAAGATCTTGAAATCTTTAATTTGAAGTTTCAAAATATGTGTGATTAATGCATGTGTATTTTTATTTATTTTTTATTTTATTTTTCCCTCTCACATAGGCTATTTTGGGAAGTTAGCTTTTAGTCACTTTTTTTGGTTTGTAGCAAAAGCTAAAAGTTGACTTTTTTGTCTTTTTTTTTTTCATTTGGAAAGTTAGTTTTTAGCCAACAGTGAAATTACAATTTTACCCTCATGGGTCAAAATGTGTTACATAGATGAAGTTGTAAATATTTTAAATAAATAGGGATAGTTTGGTCATTTTATTATGATTTGATATCATAAACAAATATTAATAAAAAAAAATCAAAAGTCACTTTTTACCCACTTCTCAAATCATTTATCTAAAAAAATTAAAAATTTAATTAAAAATTAAAAAATCACTTTTCACTAACTTCTCAAAATAAGCCAGAATGATGTGGCGGTGGGGGTTTTTGTGCATCTCAATCATTTGCTCAAAAAGATTTCAAAAAAAATCATTTGCTCAAAAAATAGCGTGGCGGGAATGTGTGAGGGATATACATACACGTGTACTCGCCAACACGTTACGCACAAGGGAATAGAACATCACACCGACACATATGGCGGTGCCAAATCACCATTCAACGCGTGGCATTTCCGACAAAAAAAAATTAGATAATAATTTAATTTTAAAAGCATGATTTGGATAAAAAATTGAAATAAAAATTTATTTAGTTAATAAATTTTTAAAATACAACTCAAAACTTAGATAACGTTTGGTAGAATTTTTTAAATATGATTTGAGAATAGAATTGTATTTTAAGTTTGTGAGTTTTGAAATTATAATTTGAGTGTGAAAAATTTATTTAGCTATAAATTTTGAAGTGAGTTTTGAGTTTTTGAAATAAAAAAAGTTATTTGATTTAAAAATTTACAAACTCATAACCAAACACAACTTAAAATTCTATTCAAAGTTTATATAAAAACTAAAAAAAAAATCCAAAAATATTTTTTATTTATAATATAAAATAACAAGTGCCCAAAAAAAAAAGAAAAAACAAAAATCGAATACTGTTCCGGTCAACTGACAGGACGTCTGAGTTAATCAAAATTTTCACATGAATTTTTTTTTTCAAAAGTAAGTGTGAAATTATAATTTAAAAACTTAAAACAAACACCACACTCAAATAAGTGAATGAAAATGTGTTTGGAACACATAACCAAACATATTTTTTCTCCCTTCTTTATTTTTCTTTTTATTATTATTAATAAATCAATCAATTATTTTTTCTCTTTTTTTCTCTTATTCTCTTACATTTTGTACTTTAATCAATCAAATTTTCTTTTATATCCATCTATTCAACAAAAAAATAAAAAATAAAATTACAAATCATCTTAAATTTATTTTCAAAACTAATAACCAAATAAGTTTTTGACTTTCAAAAACCTTTTCAACAACTTACTTTTTAAAATACACTCAAAGCTCATTTTAGACTATTTAAAACTAAACCGGCTTAAAACTTTTTTTACGACCGGCTCTCTACGACAAGAACCATCGCCGTCCCCATTTCTCTCTCTCTCGCGCGCGGATCATCATCTTGGGGTTGTTGTTGGCTTTCCTTATCGATCTGGGTTTCTTTAATCAGCAGAACCTAACATACCCACCAATGCAACGACTCGTTGACACCGTCCTCGCTGTCACCAAAGAGTCAGTCCTCAATTCTCTCTCTCTCTCTCTCTCTCTCTCTCTCTCTCTTCATATATTAATATCATCACCTATATGTATGTATTTGCGTGGGTTTATGATGATCGCCGTCTGATTACCAGAGATGGGTTTCAAATTTTCAATGGAAATTTTCGTTTATTTTTAATTTCTTTATAATAATTTAGGCTATTTGGTTACGTTCTGTCTCTTTACTGATATTTATGTATGTGCATATGATTGATTTGTAGGTTTATGAATAGTTTTTGATGCATGTTGATTTGGTGCGATTTTGTGAAATCCCATTTGTGTAGCTAGACTGTTTGATGGATTGATTTGGGTGTGAGTATTTATAATAGCGTTTTTTGTTGACGAATTGATAAAGAAGTTCAACTGTTTTGATTTTTGTGAAATCCCATTTGTGTAGCTAGACTGTTTGATAGATTGATTTGGGTGTGAGCATCTATAATAGCGTTTTTTGGTTGGAGAATTGATAAAGAAGTTCAACTGTTTTGATTTTTGTGAAATCCCATTTGTGTAGCTAGACTGTTTGATAGATTGATTTGGGTGTGAGTATTATAATAGCGTTTTTTGTTGGAGAATTGATAAAGAAGTTCAACTGTTTTACTAGGTTTTTAATATGGGAAGTCCTATTAATTCAATTGAGAGAAGCAGTTTTTGGGATATAACAAATGTGTATGCATGATAGACATAGGGATTTGAGACCTTCCAATTGTAGGACAGCTTGATGGGTCTATGTTACCTAGAATGTGGATCTTTTCGGAATATGGAACGGGAACGTGGTATGCCACATGTTCTAAAATGTGGTACGATAGGAGTAAAATATTTATTATAATTAAGAATTTAAGGTACTTCTAGAGTAGTTTTCTCTTAACTATTAGGTATTCAATAATATATATAGATATATATATTTTCATGCAGTAAATTATTTCTATAAAAATTATGACCTATTTTTGATATTTTTTGTCTTGTCAAAGCTTGATTCACCTTAGATTTTATTTCATATATATATATATATATATATATTTTAAGGTAATATTTAAGGAAATATATTTCAAATAAACTTTTGGGATCGCTTTGAATCTCTAAATTTACTGTTTTGGAACGGAAGTGTAACCATGTTTCGGAACGTGCGTAGCAATACGTAATTCGTTAGGGTGTTAGCGTTTTCTGGTAATATTGCGATGCGATGGGTAATTGGTTTTGTGGGAATTACCTGATTGGTGCTAAGAAATATTGGGGCTTTAGGAATTTATGGGGCAACAAAAATTGAGGACTAGATGAATGGAAATAATTTAAATGGTTTGGCTATGTGCAAAGGAGACTAATAGATGCACATGCATGGAGGAGTTGTTTGATTAAAGTTGGGGCTTGTTAAAGGATAAGAGGAAGTCTGAGAAGAGGGGTGAGATAATGAGAAAAGGCCATTTTCAGGAAAAAAAAGAAAAAGAAAAAGAAAAAGAGAAAGAGGCAAGCTTTTACAATTTAATTGTGAAATTGATTGATGAAATATAGAATACGCTAGCCAACACCAAATAGTTGGGACTTGAGACTGTGGGATGGAGCCTTAAAGGAGCAGAACCACGGCTGTCCTACAATCTATAATGGTAAGCTAGGGCTTTAATTTAGGGGTTCATGATGGACAAGATAATGCCGCGGTTAAAGTTTAGGTTCTGGTTGGATTTGGTTGAGGTTTACTATTTTTTATGTGATGAAACTGAAAACACAGCAAGCTGAAGCTTTTGTATAGCAATGGAAATTTGTAAGGTTTTGTGAAAAGATTGGTAGAGCCATTATGGTTCTGTGATCAAAGGTCATTGTGGAGCTAAAATTAGTGTTAAGAGTAGTTGGTTCTGATTTTTGTCCACCCTATGACTAAGAAAAGAACAATAAAGAGATATAAACCTTAGGCTCTCACAAAGGCCTTCTAAAAGTCTCAACTGGAAGTTGATGGAGTCTTACCATTAAAAGAGAGTAAAAATTTGTAAAACTTATAATCAAAGTTGTGTTATTATCTCTTAGAAAAGCTTGCTTATATAGAAGCATAGATGGTTCCTTTTTTTCTTTTCTTTTTTTCCTTTTTTTTTTTTTTTTTGATAAAAAAAAGTTAGATTAGATGGTTTCCCATTAGAAAAATGATTTTCCAATTTCTCATGAAACAGAAGTTTCTAAATTGATTATGAGGCAACTGATTCCCAATAATGAAAGGACTAGACAATTCTACATGGACCATAACCATACAACTCAGGAACCTAGAGAACCTAGAGACTTGGACACCATCTATAAGGTAATTGATAATACGCTGATCTGTGGAAATATCGAACGTAGCTATGAAAAATCTGACTTTTATAACTTGAAACAAGCTTGACATTTGGGTTCATATAAAATTGTCCAATACCTGTCCCTGCCATGTCACACATATGGCAGTTCCCATTGTATGGCCCAATTGAGGTTTTCTCCTTTTCTTCCTTTCCTAGGCACACTATTAAGAGGCTTCAATTTTTTACTTTTCTCTAGTTAGGGTTATCTAATTCTTGATTAAATTTTGGGTTGTCTTTGTTAGGATTAGTCCACCCATGTGATAGAGGTGGGTCTCATACAGTTATTAGGTTGGTTTATATATGTATTTGGGTTAGGATAGTAGAGTCCATAATCTACTAGGAAACCTAATAAGTGTAAGATTTGGTTACCTAATCGTATGGGATTAGGATTCTCATAGGTAGACTATTATAAATAGTCATGTGGACTGTAGGGTTTCTCTGAGAGAGATTGAGAGAGTAGTGAGGGAAAAAAATAGAGATGTAAGGGTGAGAGAAAAAATACCGTTGGCACCGGGTGAGCAAGAGTTCAACTATTCTTGAGCATGGGGTTCGGGTAGTGATGTAGGTTTTGAGTGTTTTGGATCGAACCACGTAAATCTGTATGATTATTTTTCTCTTTGATGTGTACGTGGGAGTGCTTACATTAGCATTGGTGAGATGTGGTACAAATCCCAACAGCCTTGAAGGCATATTTTCCCTAAAATTTGTCCCTTTTTTTGTGGTTGACTGCTTCATGTTGTTCTTCTGTGTATGTGTCTACCTACTCCCTTCAGCTTCTTGATTGATGCATGTAATGCTGTCAATTATTGATTGTTTTCCATTGCTTAACCGAACCTTTTACATAAAAAGGAATAAAATATTGAGTGTACATTTTCTTTTCTTTGATTTTGCTATTGATTCAGGTCTGTGAAAACAGTCACGTATGAGTCTTTGAACAACATTGTGAGGCTGATAAATGGAATTTCAGCACTTCTGTTAGCCATTTTACCTGGGAAGACTTCTATTCTCGAGGGTATTCATGGCTGGGAGCTTAGGCCAACATTTCGCGGTCCGCGGTTTCCACGATGGATGGAAAAGTAAGTTTTGTTACTATAATAAGATCTTCTAAATGGGTTTGCTTTTTCATTTTCACCATTATATTGTTTGAAAGTTGCATAGGATTTATTACCTTTGAAAGGAATTCACTAATTTGTTTAGAAAACTTTTGTTGAAATTATATATAAGAGAATTGACTAATTGCATCCTTCATGAGTTGCTCTCTAGAGTATTGATGCATTCATTCCTCTTCCTTTTATTTTTCTTGTTTAAACTCCCTTGTCTGATCTTTAAATCAATAATAGAAGAGCATTATTAACTGCATCCTTCACACATTTCTCATGAGTCTTTATGTGCTCATACCCTTCTAATTTTCTCCCTAGCAAGGTTTTGAAAAGCGGTTGCAGTCACCGTAACAGTTGTGGTGGCGCGGTTATGGTTGCGGGGTGTAGAAGTCGTAGCGTAACAGTTGTAGTAATTGGAACCGTGAATTTTTTTATTTTTCGCACAATTTGAAAAAACTTACTGATATGCATTTTTTTCCCCCCAAAATCACATTTATTGGGGTTTAAAATAGATTTTGATCAATTTTTGTTAATTTTTAAGTATGATCTAATGTATTTCATATTTTAAATTACTATAAAAGGAGCTTTTGACATTTTATTTCAATAGTTAATGACTTTAAAAATAATTGATTTTAAATGTCTATAAAATTATTTTTTACCAATACCTGAGCTAAATAAAAAATATTTACAATTATTAAATGAAATGATTATAAAAATAAAAATTGTGCCATAAACAAAAATTATTTTTGAGCTATTGATTTTTTTTTTTTTTAAAAGACATTTTTTAGACAACATTTCACAGCCAACTAAATAAAATTATTTACAATTAACTATTAAATGAAATAATTATAAAAATAAAAATTGTGCCATAACAAAAATTATTTTTGAGCTACTGATTTTATTTATTTTTTTAAAAGACATTTTTTAGGCAACACACTACGGTAACAAAATAAAAAATATTTAAAATTAAATATTAAATAAATAATTATAAAAATAAATACAACCACTATTTATATATATTTTTATTTTACATTCTAATAATGTCATGAAATAAAAATTTTGAAAAAATTATAAAGAATAAAAAATTCATACAAGGTTTTTTTTTAGGCTTGGATCATTTGAGTATTCGGTTTTTTTTTTGTGAAGTTTTTTTATTTTTTTTAATAGAAAGGAAGTTATTCAGAATGTTGTAAAAGTGTGTAACGGATTGTTACGGCTGTTACGTAGCACCGAAACAGCAATTACACATGCGAATTTTTGTCACACTGCAAAAGCGGGTGTAACAGATAGCATCTACCACCGCAACCGTTACGTAACACCGCTTTTTGAAACCTTGCTCTCTAGTAAACCCCCTGGTTTATAAGAAATATATTTGGATCTCTGTGCTTTTCTTCAAGGATTAACACTTTTGTTGATGGCTACATTTAGAGGTTGTTTGGGGTGTCCTAAATAAGTGTACTTTTTGTCTTTTTGGATTAAAAAATTGAGGAAAAAAATATGGATGTTTGGGTTAACTTTTTGACTTTTTATGGAAAAATGTGTATTAAAAAATTGTATAAATTAGTGTGTAGAGGAAAATTAGGATTGGGTGTTGTGCAGCCGTAATTTTTGACTTTTGGTGAATAGTGATAACTTTTTAACTTTTTGAGTTACTTTTTAACTTTTTGACTTTTTTTAGGATTGCCAAACTTGGCCTTAGCATTTGGGTGCAAAAGTTTTCCATGTTTTGATTAGTAGATATATCTGGGTTTTAACACTCACATAGCATTATTATTTAAAAAACACACGCGTTGACTTTTCAAACATTTTCCTTTTGGTTAGTAAAATTTTTTTTTAGAGTTACAGTTTTTATCATTATGTCTATGCTTGTAAAAAGCCTTCCAGTTCTTGATGTAATTAACTTTTTTTTCACCATGATAGTGGTGTGTCATCTTTCAATCAGTTCATCCATGAACTTTCTGTGGATTCTGATACATCATCAAGTGTAGATTACTCATCTGGCGAGGAAGATAGTGATGGGAACATAGTTCCTGCATCTCCATTATCACAAAGTTCCAGGGTCTCCAGGGCAAGTAGTTTCAACAAGATTGGCAGGCGCTGGACGTGTTGGATCAGATGCATATTTTCATGGATTCTGTTTCCTGTGAAATTTCTGTTGGGGATACCATTATATTTCTATCCCGCCTCTTGTTATAGGGGGTCAACAGTGCCTGCTAACATAGAAAGGCAGCCATCTCGTTTACGCACTACCAATAAAGCACACGCCCTAAAGGACCATTTCATGCAACGCACAACTGACAGGAGACGTGGAGTAATAGAGGTTTGTTCCTATATTCTCCGTTGTTTTTATTTATATATATATATATATATATTTGAAGTTGCTCTTTTATTGTTGTATGTCTCATGCAAAACATTTCTATGGATAATTCCTTATTTACCTATGATGTTATGTTAATCAGGATCTCCATCTAGCGATTGAAATTTCTATAGAAGCAATATTTGATATTGTTCACAAGGCAGCGCATTGTGTTCTTTCACCATCAGAAACACTTAAAGCACTATTGGGGTGGTTTTCTTTTCGTACCAGTGGTAGTAAAGACACTGCTGCTGGTGATTTGGATCCCAGTGCCACTGTCTCCACGGCTACTCTTGGAGAGGATGATCCGACCCCTACAGAAAGGGAAACCACTTTTCACCAATCCCTGAATACAGATGCTCGAACCTGTCAGGATGTCATAACAGAGCTTGGGTATTTTAATTTATTTCCAACTACTTACAAATAATTAGGTTAGTTAGTCACATGTTTATATTTACACACAAGTTGTGCAAGCATACATACATGAAAAGCAGACCTTTGTTTCTCCATTGGAGGCTTGCAGCGTCCTTGGTTTCTTTTGACAAATGGTCGTTCTATTTTCCTTTGGGCTAAATAATTAGTGAGTTTATTGATCTAATCTGGAGACTCTATTCTTCCTTCAGCATTGTGCAGAAGTCAATTGTACCAACTTGAAAATGTGGTGCTGCATTGTACCCACAATTATGATGTCTTTCTTCCAAGTTTCCACACATCCACACATCTAAATTTTTTAATAATGTTATTGTTGTTATTATTATTTGGTTATAACCTTTTAATTCAACTAAAGTTTTCTCATGAATTCTATCTAAGAAACATGGATATGGGCACCACATACAGATGAGACATGATACGGAGGCACACAGATATATAATTTGGATTTTTTATTAATTTTTTAATTTTTTTAAACCAAGGTGTACAAATTTATCATTCAGCTGAATGTCAGCCAAACTGCGTTCTCTGCTGTTATTCCTGGTTGGTTCTAGGGCAACCATCCTTGTCTGGAATCTAGTTTGGATTTGGGTTACAGCTACTGCAGTCTGATGGCATGAATACATGCATTTGCACTAGATTTATCACATGGAGTTTCATATTAGTTTCTTGTTTCTGTGTATCTACGTAAATTTTATTACTTCTCTATCTGTTTTAGGTATCCATATGAAGCTATTCGTGTAGTGACAGCGGATGGATATGTACTTACATTGGAAAGAATTCCAAGGTAGAATGAACTTTTCATTTCCTTCTGAACTGAAGTTTGTTTTTGCCATTTTGTGTTGTCTTAAAAACTTTATTCAATGTGTTTGACAATTGCTTCTGGTGTAACAGACGTGATTCAAGGAAAGTTGTTTATCTGCAACATGGAATATTGGATTCATCTATGGGGTGAGTTATATTTTTCCCCCCTTATACTTTTCTCTCATCTCTTGGCTAATGAAAATGCTACGGGCTTCCTGAATATGTGGGAGGTTGTCTATTTATCTTAACTTTACTGAAAAAACATAACATGATCAGTCACATTCTATGACATGGGATCTGTTTACTAAGTCTGGGTGCTGAGTTTTTCTTCTTAAGTACCACCTGGTTTATATCTGTATTAAATTTGACTCGTGTGGTCTACTTAATAGTTACCTTGCTGAATTTGCTATCTAGTTTCTTCAAGCCCCAGTGGCAGGTGAGGGGTACATTTGTATTTTCTTCTCTTCGTTAAAATTCATCCACTACAAAGACGGAAATGTAGGGCTTTGGTAGTTTTTTATTTTATTTTATCTTTTTAAAGCAATCTGAACATGGAGTTGTTCTTGGAAGTTTGATCATTCACACAGAAGCTTAGAAGTTATGGGTGCTTGAAACGGCGGTTTTATATGATGTATTCTAGGTTGTAAGAAGAGGGAAAAAATGAGAAACAGGAGGAAGAAGAGGATGACATAGCCCATTATGGTATTCATCAATTTGGAAGAGCATACATCAGGTTATAATATAAATTACATGAGTAGGGTTCCTTCAAAGATTATTTTGTGAATAAGAAACAAAGTATTAACAACGTTCTACATATATAGTGAAGTGATTTTGAAGAGGTATGTTTGAAACATTTAGCTTGAAGGAAGATTAAGATGGATTATTTGGAGTGCAGCCCTTGTGAAACTAGTAGTAAGGGTGATTGATAAGGGTGGTCTCATATAGAACAGGATGTGTGAAGCGGAGAAGTGTCTTTTATTGTCATGTGACCAAAGAATATTTAAGGGACCGAAAGTTTTGATATGAGTTGCAAATGGGTAATGGGGCATCTATGCACTTCATTACCAGTATATTCTTCCACTAGTCAGAGTCCTTTTCATTATCAAATAAATCAAGAAGATCCTTATTCATCTTTAACTCTCACATATTGTGCTTCGTTTTATCACTTTCGTACCCTTATAAGCTGTTTGCTTTTCCAGTTGGGTATCTAATGGAGTCGTTGGTTCTCCAGCTTTTGCAGCTTTTGATCAAGGTTTGTTGTGTTTTCAGTGAGTAATTTCAGTTTCTAAGATATATCAGATTCCTATGCTTCCCTTTTGCTTTTAGTGATTTATTTCTGTTTTTCTATTCAGGTTATGATGTTTTTCTTGGGAACTTCCGTGGTTTGGTTTCCAGGGAGCATGTTGAAAAGAACATTTCCTCGAGACAGTAAGTTCCGCGTGAAAGTTGTACACTCATCTTATGGAACCCCTCATCTCAATTTGTTTGCATCAAAATTTATTGTAGATCTCCTTTGTATTATGAGATGTAATTATTCAAACTGCAATATAAGCTATGTAACTTACAATCCATTGGATTGAGTATTTGGAGAAAAAGGGAAAGAATTTGATTTCTTAGTCCTAATCACTTGTTTGGATTACTAGAGAGGAGAGAAATGGGGGGACATTGAAAGAAATGGAGAGAAACTGATTTCTTTCAAAATCCACTTTTTAAATATCTCCAAAAGTGGAGAGATTGGGAGAGAGAAGATATGAGGTGATTACTAACTTTTTTCTAATACCAAAATATCCATCTAAAGAAACAAAAACATAAAAGGTTAATTTGGTAGTATAGCTTGCAATAATTTTTTTTTCCCTTTCCTTTTGTGTAGTCTATCCAAACAAGATAGGGGTGAATCACTAGTTTTCTTCTTTTCTTTCAGGCTTAACCAAACAAGGAGAGAACACAATCTTCTCTCAACTTCACAAATTTCTTTTCTCTTATGAATTCCCAAACAGGCTGTTAATGTTTTAATCTAATGCAGGTATTGGCGTTACTCCATCAACGAGCATGGGACTGAGGATATTCCTGCAATGCTTGAGAAAATCCATGAAGTAAAAATTTCTGAATTGAAGTCCAACCAACCTGTTCCGGACGAAGAAATCACTGGTGACCAGCCTTACAAACTTTGTGCAATTTGCCACAGCTTGGGTGGAGCTGGTATTTTGATGTATGTCATTACACGCCGGATCGAAGAAAAGCCCCATAGACTCTCAAGATTGATCCTATTATCACCCGCTGGCTTTCATGCTGATTCCAACTTTGTATTTACAATCGTGGAGTACCTATTCCTTCTGGTGGCTCCTATGCTAGCCCCCATCGTGCCTGCTTTCTATATACCAACACGATTTTTTCGTATGCTGCTCAACAAGTTGGCTCGGGACTTCCATAACTACCCGGCTGTTGGAGGACTTGTTCAAACCTTAATGAGTTACGTCGTCGGTGGAGACAGCTCAAACTGGATTGGAGTGATAGGATTACCCCACTACAACATGAATGACATGCCAGGTGTTTCATTTCTCGTGGCTCTACACCTGGCACAGATGAAGCGGGCAGGTAAATTTATGATGTTCGATTACGGGAGTGGAGCGGCTAACATGGAAGTGTATGGTTCTCCTGAGCCATTCAATTTGGGGGAATACTATGGACTCATCGACATTCCCGTTGATCTTGTTGCTGGTCGCAAGGACAAGGTGATCCGACCCTCAATGGTGAGAAAACACTATAAGTTGATGAGGGATTCGAGCGTGGAGGTATCATACAACGAGTTTGAGTACGCCCATTTGGATTTCACTTTTTCTCATCGCGAAGAACTTTTAGCCTACGTGATGTCCCGTTTAAGACTAGTGGAGCCCACACAAAAGCAACAGTTCGTCCAAAAGGGTGTACGGTTCAAGAAGAAAGATACACAGGCAACGGGTAGTGATTGATTGGTAATGCAGCAAAAGCCTTGATCACTTTGTTTTTCTGATGCATCAGGGATTAGCATGCTGCTTTTTATTTTTTATTTTTTGTGTTGTAGATTACAAAACAGATCAATACCGGTGGTCTGTCACTTCCATTGTAATTATGCATAGAGATGAACTATACACATACCTTAGTCGAAGTGAATTGTTTGATGAGTGTGTCCGGGTAGGGTTCCATGACGGGAAGTTGTTGTATATTTGCTAGGAAAGGGTTTATCTGGTTTTTGATCAATTTGTTATCTGTAACTTTGTACTGTATGGGTTGAATGAAATAGTTCGCAAAAAATAGTTATGGCAATGCTTATTGTCCAAAGTAACAGTTCATATCTGTAATGAGATATCGGTTTTTGAACTCTTTGTAAATGTCTAGCCTGATGAACAGTAGTGGGTAGGGTTGCAAATAAACTGAGTGGAACTTTGCTGAGTTCGAATTGGATTCATTTACTTATCGAGTTCGTTTATTGAGTTTGAGTTTGGCTTGTTTACTAAACGAGTCTAATATTTGAGCTCGAACTCGGCTTGTTTAATAAACGAGCCGAGGCGAGTCGGCTGAGCTAAGTCTGTTTATCAACAATACGGTTCATTTGCAGCTTAAGCTTAAAACCCTAGGTTTTACCATGCTTGGATTGGACTTGGTTTGGAATGCATTTCAATTTTTGTTATGTTATAATTGTACCTGTTGGTGTAATCCCATTTACCTGACAAGACGTGGCAGTTGTTTTTATGTCAGTGTGTAGTAAACGGGAGTCTTGTATCTCCTATTACGATAATTTTGTATGCATTATAAAATTATATATACATATATATAAACTACTTTCAACTCAACTCTCTTATTATGTTTTGTATGCATTATAAAACTATATATATAATTAAACTACTTTCAACTCATGATAGGATTGACTGAAGTTTATTGATATGTTAAAAGAAGTATATTTTGTGAATTGTGAACGGTATTAGTCGATAGTGGAGGATGGATGAATATAGTGATTGAAGTTAGTTGTTGAAGTTCGTAGTCGAAGTATTACTAGAGGTCATGGGGTGACTAAAGGATTGTCGGTGACTGGTTAATTACAGAAGAGTTACCAAAAGGTGGCTAAAGCTTGTAGGTAGTTGATTGATGGCCTATGATAACGGTGGGTGGTGGTTGGAAGTATTAATGAAGGGAAGACAGAACAATAACTTGTTTTGAAAATAAGTAAAAATATCTTTTATATATTTTTTATTTTCAAAAATCTTAAAATCAATCCCATATTTTCCAAAAATAAAAATAGCAAAACAAGAAATGAAAGAACTCATTTACTCTAGCCAACTCCATTGGTTCATTAGCCCTTATTGCAAATTCATCAAGGGGCAATCAAATGGAGAAGTTATTGGTTAATATAGCGAGAGTCACGTGGCGCTTTACATATATTGCAATTAATGGAGGTGGTAAAATTTATGATTTTGTATTGAGTAATTGAAAAATATAAATGAATATGAGAATTTATGATTGGTCTAAAGCATGGTCACGTGATGCCAAGGATTAATCAATAATTTTTGGCGCATTTATACACAAGTCCTAATTTATAAACTTATATTTAGACCTTTAAATCCCATTAAATTTTTAATAGTCAGAATTGTATTTCAAACAATAATTGTTCATTATTTATGACTATCTATAAATGAACATAATGATTTGGTATTTATTTTGCTTTTCAAAACTTTAAAGTATCAACTTTCAAATTGAAAAGGCTAAAAACTTCAAAACATTAACTTTCAAATTTAAAATTTTTTTTTTTTTTTTTTGAAAAAATTGAATTATTTTTTTGTGTAAAAATAAAAATTTTGTGTCTATAAAGGAGCATGATAATGCAAAATTGAAAAAAAAAAATTAAAAATGAAAAAAAATAATAATGTACTCACTTTTAAAACTAGAAAAAAAACTAATAATATTATCAGTTTTATTGGATAGTTGAATCAAACCAATAAGTAGAATGGAAAAAATGTTTAACCTCATACTCTGTGTTTTTTATCAGTTAGTGAAACAATTATCTGAAATATTACTATACAAAATTAATAATATTCTTAGTTTTAAAATTTTTTAAAAAAATGATAATATTTTTAATTTTATTAAATAAGACTTATTAGCTCAAAATTTTTTAAATAGAATCTGAAATATCATAACATTTGTAAATTTAATTTTAAGTAATAACTCATAATGATGGGTCAATCAAATGGGCCAAAATAGTGGTAGCTCAAAACATCTTAGGTGGGCCCATATATACATGTATAGATACATGTCCATGTATGCATTGTTCCCATTTGGGTTGGGCGAGAGGAGCGAGAAGATGGTGAGTTCAGTGAGATGGGGCTACGTTCGGATCATCACAGGTACCCTCGTCGGAGGCATTCTAGGGTTTTACGTAATGCACCGAGCTGAGCTTAGCTACAAGGTTCGTCTTCAATCTTCGATCCCACCCTTTTTCCCTATTTTCTCTGCAACAATTCAATGATTTTGGGATTTATATGTATATATGTATAGGAGAAGTGGAACGAGAGATTGAAGAAGTATGAAGAAGAACTCAATAAGAAGAAAGAGAAGGCTAATGAGCTTGAAGAGTCACTCTAAGAGTATTCACTTGTTTCTCTCACCAAACACTTCCAAATTTGTATAATTATAATTTTTTTATTGTTTGGGTTTTGTTTGTTTGAACAATCGATGATTCAAACACAAGGTAACCCAAATCCATGAGCCAAAATGAAATTTTGATTAGGAAATGCTTTAACACCAAATTTTGTTCCTTTTTATCTTGGGTGTTTTTCTTTGTAAGTTATCATTTGTGATGCTCATGCAGGTGGTTAATTTTCTCTTAATCTGATTCTTTAAATTTTATGTATAAGTTTTCTGTTTACTTATTTTATCGTTTAATTTCTTTGATTTTTCCCAGATTATGTGAACTACATTATTTATGACACTATTATCTTGTATTGATGAGTTATAAGACCTCAGACTGTGCTCTTGAGAAAATGGTAGAGAGAGCTACAAAGAAATCATTTAATCTTGTGAATTGTGATGGGTAGGATGGTCTATGACTTTATTCAATGGCTTGCCAATAAGAACAAGAAGGAACCCGTGTTTTGTAAGTTCTTATTCTTCTGTTCTCGTTATTGTTATTGTTATTGTTGAAGATGAAAAGGCAGGCACGGAAAGATATTTCTATGTAATTAAAATTACGTGGAGGGAGAAGTGATGGTCGTAAAATTTGATGAAGGGATGCAGCTGTGGACTGATGTCGCTTAAAATCTTTCTATTCTAGTGGTGAGTACCAAGACACGATTTTGATGACATTTTGCTTATTGAAACTACTGCCAAAGCTGAATATGGTTTATGTGGTAAAAAAACCAATTGGCCTGTGTGATAAGGAATTGGGATTGGTGGCCAGTGCCCACACATTTTCTGGTCAGTATGTGTGGTGAACTCCCTCTAGTTGGCTTTATTTCTTTTCTATTTTTTTCCCTGTGTTTTTATCTTTTGTGTTTGGCTTACGATCAACCTGGCTTGAAGACCTAAAATGGAAGGAGTGTAGTTGTATAATAATCACACTGATAGTGTTGATATGATCATAAGAAATTCTCTGCAAATTAGTCAAAACAACTAGCGAATATACGGTGAACTAGTGAATTTGAAGATGCTATGACAAATACAATATGCGGTTCTATGATGATTATCATGAGAGATTCAAGCTCATAAAGCTTGGCATAGGAGTATTATAGTCAGATGGGGTTTTAAGGAAGATAAAATTTAGAAAGCATGAGTTGAAAAAAGAGTAGAGTAATGAATGATGTAGAGATTTATCAACAAAAAAAAAAAGTAATGAATAATGTAAAGTGAGATAAGATTTGATTATATACTTTCTTGAATTACCGATCAAAAAATTATTTACTTTCTTGAAGTGTGCAGCATTGTTGATGGAGGTAAGCCTCGGCTCCAATTGGTGTATGATATTTGACATGCAATTACCAGAAGCTACAAACATAAACGCATTAGTGGAAGAGAGGATAAGAATTCAGCCTCTTTTTTTTTTTATATAAATATTAGTTCAATGTAGAGAGTACAGTGGCGGAGAAGAGATGCAATAGTGAAGAGATGCGATAAAGTGACGGTAGATGGTAGTGTTAGGGGAATGTGTAGACTTAGATTGACGTGAACTGGTGTAGTAAAATAGATATGAATCTCTTTAATTTGACTAGTGAAATGGTTTTGGATAGAGTTGAGTGGAAAAGAATGATTTATGTAGCCGACCCCATTTAATGAGACTTAAGGCTTGGTTTGGTTCGGTTTGGTTAGTTCAATGGAGAGAGAGTACCACACCAGTCCATTGCTTGATGCATTTGTTGATCCTAGGTAAACCTTTAAGCGCTATCACATATATTGTTTGAAAATTACAAAGCCTAAAATTCATATTTTCAAATTTGTGTTGTAATTGTCTACAAGTAAAATGAGATTTTTTTTTTTAATATATATATATATATAAAGGAATTATGGTGCTGTTTGCTTGATGAAGTTCCAAATCCTGTTGCTCCAGATTGGGTAATTAGTTTTTTTAGGTTATCTTCTCTCTCTGTTGCTCTTCATCAATTCCAATTTGAATGTGTTTTAAGAGTTGGACAATTGTATAAAAATTGTGGTTAGTTATTGTAGGGAATTCATGTTCAGGCTACTACATTGATTAGTTTGATTCAAGGGTTAGGTCTGATAATTACTATGAGGAATGGTCTTTCTCATTTTTTAGGGATACTTTTTTCTTCTTCTATTCAATGGAAAATTTGCATACACCCTTGTGACATTGGATAGTCTGATTGCCTTCTTTCTGTAGTGATTGTTTTGGATATGTGTAGTTAGTTGCTGAGGTGTTTTTCTTGCATTCTTCTTCTTCTTGCCTTTGTTTCTCAAATTTTGGTACTTCGCGATCATGTAACATAACAGTGGAAACTATGTTGCCGGCAAGGAAGCACGGGTACGAGTACGGTACGGGTACGAGTGCGGGTATGCCGATTCGGCAAAACTCAAAAAAAGTACGATACGGGTACGGCTACGGTACGCCAATATTTTTTTATTTTTTTTTAAATATAATTTTGATTAAAGGATCCAACCTACAAATTAAAATTAAATATCAAAACTAAAAAAAGAACTATTTATTTTCCTATAATTTAAAACTATTAAGCGTTAAAAATAATATTTGTGAAATCTCTCACTTTGATATGTTATGCACTGTGAATTTGTGATCATAATTTATTTTTAAAATCTTTCTTTTTGCTCATCAATTTGTTATTTTTATAGGATGAGACCAAAGAAATAATAGGAGACCAAAGAAAGATTTAAAGTTAATTACCAACAATAAAGGAAAAAAATTCTCAATTGGTGCAGGTTGTTAATTGCAATTTGCATAATATATAAAATTGCATCATTCCCAACAACTACTAATCAACTAATACAGTATCAATTTTTAATGTTTTGTGCATAAACTTTAAAAGTTTGTTATGATTAAAGATTTTATAAAGAAATTCTAGGAGGATCTAAAGCAAAAGCATAATGCATAGTCATATACAGAACTACTCTTTATAGGCCTTGTTATTTTTTTTGGTTCAAATTGCTTTTTAAAAACATTAAAATCATTTGTTGATATGCTTCTACAATTTATACAGACAAACAGGACAACAGAGAAACATCAAAATTAGTGATCTGCAAGGGCACCAAAAAAAATAAAAAATAATAATAATAATTGCTAATTTGCAAGGGCAGGAAAAAAAAAAAATAAAAAAAATTGGCCTTGGCGTACCCATGGCGTGCCCACGCTGTACCCATGGCGTACCCATGTCGTACCCGAATAAGCCAAACGTACCGGACCTTCTTTTGCCGTACCCGGTACGCGTACTGCCGTACCGGTACGCCTACCCGCACCCGGTAAGTACCCGGTACTCGTACGGCACTATTTTTGAAGTACCAGTGCTTCATAGGTTGCCGGCTTAGATAGAGCCTAATCCTATTTCCAGACCCTCTTTTACAAAAACCTAACAAGTCATTGACCATTTTGATCCCTTATTATTCCACTGTAATAGAATGGTACTAAACAAGTTTTCCAGCATACAGCCATGAATAATAAACAGATTATTTTCCCAAGTATCTTTATTCCACAAAACCAGTTCATTTCATGCAGTTCAAGTCCACTACTCTTTTTTGGTCTTTTCTTCATGAATTTTGTTTGGTTGGCACTTGGCAGCAAGCTTAAAATCTTGAGCTTTTTGCTTGATGAAAAGGGTAGGAGGGGGAGATGGACAACCGTGGCAATGGCAATCATCATTGGACATGATAAAAAATGGCCTTAATTGTTGGACAGAAGAGGCCTAGACAGACCTGACAAAGTAGGGATACCGTACACAGGGGAACCATATGGTGTTCCCTCAGGACAAACTTGAGCCATAGCCTGACCTAATCCAACCAAGGTTCTAGCATGGGAAACCCCGGAACTATGTTGTCGAGAGACTCAATCCAAAACCACTTGCTCACCAAAATTAGGAGTGAGCACACACCCTCTAAGCTATTACCCTTTTTTTCTTTTTTTCAGAACATGAGAAATATTATATTAATAAAAAACAATAATAGTACATAATCAAAATCCCAAAGGGCCATCCCAACCAAACAACAAAATAAAAAACAAACAAAAACAAACAACAAAAATCTGCCAAAAATAACAGTTACGATTTTTTTTTTTTTTTTTTTAAATTTTTTTTTTTGAAGCTGTTACCCTTGGTGGTGCTTAAACACTGAATTTGGTTCATATGCATATGGGGTCATGCAGTTTGTGAAGAATGGGCAACATCATGGAGAACTCCAGACTCAGCAAGAGAACACCCTACATCAATATTCAAGTTAGTGGGGGGCCTGAAGTTCAGGAAAACTGCCATATGTCTACAAAGGAATGAAAGATGAAAAAATTGTAAATCAGTGGGACAGTGAAAAAATAATTACACTACAGATAAAAAATAAAAAAAAAAAAAATTAGTGCAACTTTGATAAATGAGTTGCACCAAACCAAACACAAAAAGAACTTGTACCACGCACACATGCCACTTTTATCACCATAAAAATGAAAATATTCTCTCACTGGCCTACTGATTTGTAATTTCCTCATCAAAGATTGATGTGGTGGTTATTGCTTTTAATTATGTGGAGGAGATTGAGCTCATTGCTAAGTGTCTCTTGCAACTATTAGAATGTGTAGGAAGATTGAACTGGAGGCCTGTTTGCCGCAATTTCTACCAAGCAAAAATTAATCTACTACAATTTTAAAAATGTGAAAAGTTTGTCATATTTGCTACTATTCTTTTTTAAATCACAATTTTACCCTCTTAAATATATTATATTTTTTAAAAGTCATGAAAAGTCCTATATAAACTAATTATCTCTTTATTTTTAGAGTTAAACACTCAAAAATGATATATTTGTTTGTAAGAGTCTCATATGAATATAAACAAACCGTTTCATTTCTTATCAAAAAAACCCATCTCCCTATTTTTGACATTGATGGTGATTGAAGAACAAACCCTTTTTTATATTTTATATTTGCTTCTATACTGATATACATAATATTTACAATTGTCCATGGTTGTGAATAATTCTGGTTGAATATTAAAATTGTATGCATCTATTCAAATCTAGACAGACGAAAGTGCGTACGTTTTTAAAATAGAGATTTGTATTGCATCTCAAAAATTGGCAGGTTATCTTCATAAACTTTCTTTTTGTTTAGATTAAATTTTATGAATTATAATATTTTACATGGTACTTTAATAATCAATGTATGATGTCAAAATTCTAAACAATAACTACTTTCATTGGTTTCATTTTTTAAATTTGTTTTTTCATTTTTGGTTTTTCATAATTTTGTTGTTCATTTTTCATATTTTCTCAATTTTGATAATTAAAGATACTAGAATATCTTCATATTTAATATTTAAATTATACTTTTATGTGAATATTTAATATCCAATAATTTAAATAGAATTAAAAAGTAAAATATTGGTAAAAAATTTATAAATTCGAACATGTAATGATTTATTATTATTATTTTTTTTTGCTATTATTATTATTATTTAATATTAATAAAAAATTCAAAAAGAATTCACAAAAAAATATTTTCTAAATGCATTTAGATTAATTTAAATCTAAAAGTAAAATTTAAAACTAAAAAATATTATTAAATTAAGTAAATCTAAAAATAAAATAAAAGGGTTATTTAAAAAAAAGTATCAATGACAAAAAAACATGAAAATTCAAAATTCAAAACAAAAGTTTGAAATAACAAATCAACCAAACACTATAAACTTCTCTTTTTTTTCTACTAAATCTTTCTTCACTAATCTTTAATTTTACATAAATTATTCACAAATTCCTTTCAATTTTATGTGAATTTAATAATCTAATTAAAAAATAATGCATACACAAAAAATACAAAAATATAACACTAAAAATTTACATCATGACCAATTATTTAATTATAAATAATTGACTTCTTATTGTTACAAATGGTTTTGCATATTACTTGTTTGAAATAACAAATCAACCAAACACTATAAACTTCTCTTTTTTTTCTACTAAATCTTTCTTCACTAATCTTTAATTTTACATAAATTATTCACAAATTCCTTTCAATTTTATGTGAATTTAATAATCTAATTAAAAAATAATGCATACACAAAAAATACAAAACTATAACACTAAAAATTTACATCATGACCAATTATTTAATTATAAATAATTGACTTCTTATTGTTACCAGTATTATATTGTTACAAAAGGTTTCGCATATTACTTTTGTGATATCTTATATATGTTAGTGTCTACATATATAAATATATAAATGTAAATTTATATATGTTATTGTATTCATATATTGTCAATCCGTAATGCTATATTACCATCGGATACTTTAATTTTCTAACATGTATCACTTAGTAATATAGTTATACTTGTTAAGAAAAAATTGCGAAATTGTGTATTGTTCTCCTTTCAACTTATGTTCAATATGGATATATATATATATACATACATGTCATACAAACAAGTGTCCACAATGAATACTTTCAATAACAAATCAAAACTTTGTAAAATACCTCATTCACGACAATAATATTGTACTTTTTTTTTCTCTCCATAGAAAAAATCACATTGTGAAGGAAAATAGATTCTAAAATTCATAACAATATGATATCGTTTCAAAATCTTACTCTTCCTCTTCAAAATATTTTTATTACATTGAGTTATAATTGTGAGCTAGAAGAAAAACAAGTAGATGGTGAAATAAAAAATACAAAAGATTTATTGTAATATGTTCTCCAAGCAAAGTTAGACGAGTTGAAACATGAATTGTATTCTGTTGTGAAGTTTAAGAAAAATAATGTACCTCATGCACACATTTTAGTCAAATTATAAGGAAAAAAAAATCATATGATGCCTAAACATTATCCCAACAACTCAATGATGCAGAAAGTAAATACATTAAATAAAAAATTTTGATCAATTTTTGTCATATGCTGATTATTAACAAATGACATAATAAGTTATTTAACTTGGCGGTTTTATGAAAGTGACTCTGAATACATTAAGCCTCTGTTTGGGAAGATGGGTTGGGTTGGGTTGGATTTGGAGCTATTTTAGTCAAAAAAAGACAAAATAGGTGTTTTAACTCAATAAGACAAAACATCACATTCAACCCATAATTACTAGCGGTAACCCGTGCTATACACGGACAAGTAACAAAAAATAGTAAATAATGTTGAACATGCTAAAAATTAACAATTAAATACTATGATATTTATTTAGATGGGTATTGAAATAATATATTTAGTGATCTTACTATATTTAATTAAATAAATTTTAGAAGAAAAAAAAGTTGAACTGAAAATTAAGAGTAAGAGTGGATTCTGTAAATATAAGATATAGATAAAAACAAATTAAGTTTAAATTTGAAGATAAACTATAAATATACACACACACACACATATATATATATATATATATAAAAGAAAATTAGACAAATCCTAGAAAAATGAGATAGAGAGTAATTCAGTAATTGAAAAAAAAAAAACAAAGTTGAAATTTAAAATTAAAAAATAAGATAAGACAAACTTGAAAAGAAAAATAAAATCTAATATAACTCTAATAACAGAAGAAATGGAGAGGGTAATAATTAAAAAATTAGATAAGAGTGAAATGCCACTTATAATTTTTTTTAAAAAAAAAACTAAAATAAAATCGAGGTAGTATGTTAAAAATCAGATAAGATTTAAGTGTCAATTATAATTTTTTAAAATTTACATTTTGTGTAGTTAAAAAATAAGCAATTATGTTATCTTATTATACAAATTTTAACTCTATTTTGTGTCTACTACCTATAATTTAATCAAATTTTGTCTTCTAAAGCTATTTAATTGAAATAAGAAAGAATAAAAAATTATAAGAATATAGAAAGTGAAAATCAGATAAAAATAGAATAAACTTAATTAAAAATCAAAAGCAAGAATCGATCCTGTAAATATAAGATAAAGATTAAAAAAAAATCAAATGCAAATTTGAAGATAAATTATACGAATATAGAAAGAGAAACTTAGATAAATTGCAAAAGTAAAAGAGAGCAAAAAACGCAATATGAGATTTAAAACATGTGCTTCTTTTCACATAAGATGCTAATGTTTGGCAAGAAGGTTTGGGTGGGTTTGGGGCTAAAATAGTCACAAAAAACAAAATAGACTATTTTAGCCACAAAAAACAAAACATCAAATCCAACCCCTAATCATTACAATCCTCTCTCACAAAAAAAGTCAAAAAAGTCAAAAAGCCAAAAAGCCCTTCCCAAACCAGGCTAAAATAGCCCAGGCTAAAATAGCCAAAAAGCCAAAAAGCCAAAAAGTCAACCCACTTCCCAAACGGAGGCTAAAAATCTTGCATAATTGATTAAATCACCCGTTTTATTTCTTTAGAACCTTATTTTTGTTCTCCAATCTTTTTGCCTAATTTCATATTGTCATAGAAGTTAGGTTTTGAGATTTATAAATTTATTTATTTATTTATTTCAAATATCCTTGGGTAAGACATAAATTGATGAAGAAATTTGAATTAGAGTCAAACTCATCTTTTATTTTTAAATATTTTGAAAATCTTTTATCTTTAAATATTTTGAAAATCTTTTATATCCATGCCATAAGTAATTAAAAAGTGAAATAAAAAATATAAAAAAAGATAAGAAAAAATAGGAAAATAGAATGAGAGAAGAATGGATGTGCCACGTAGGAAAGAGGTTCATGAGATGTTAGGATTGAGAGTTTTGATGAAGAAATTTGAATTAGAGTCAAACTCATCTTCTATTTTTAAATATTTTGAAAATTTTTTATCTTTAAATATCTTGAAAATCTTTTATATCCATGCCATAAGTAATTAAAAAGTGAAATAAAAAATATAAAAAAAGATAAAAAAAATAGGAAAATAGAATGAGAGAAGAATGGATGTGCCACGTAGGAAAGAGGTTCATGAGATGTTAGGATTGAGAGTTTTGAATTTTTTAAGAGATCACTACATTTGCTTATATATATCTCACAAAAAGTCAAAAAAGTCAAAAAAACCTATCCCAAGCAAGGCTTTTTAGCCTTAAGCTAAAATAGACAAAAAATCAAAAAATCAACCCACTTCCCAAATGAATCCTTACAAGTATGGATCTATTAATATCGTGAAAACGATTATGAAATTCCTATATTGATCTAAATATTAAGGTACAATATTATTCCATTTTCTTTAAAAAAATATTCCATATTTTCTACATAAATAAAAATATATTAATGACTAATATTATATTTTCCATCATGCAAGATATTCGTGACACATGAAACGAGACTCAACAACTCTTAATGTACAAAAATATATTACATATTGATATTAATGCATTCTTACAACAATAATATGCAATGGTAAGTTCAATAAATTTGTGTTATGAGATGAACTACTAAACAAAATTGTGTAATTTTGTAATTAATTTCATACCTTAATTATATTACAAGTACTAATTATAAAAAATTGAAGTAAAAAGTTGATGGAAAAAAGTTTGTGTAATACTACATATTTAAAAGACTTCTTTATTGTTTATTGTTTAAAATAAGATTGTGATCTTAACAATCTAAATATAAATTAATATTTATGTTGGTTAAAATTTTCATTTATCATTTAAAATTTTCAATCTAGTATATATTTATTTCTTACTTAGTTGTATTTTAGGTATATATCAATTTACCTATAAAAGTTTCCATACTTTATATAATATCATATATCAATTTAAGAGACACGTATAATTACATTTTTAACAGTTGATGAAAAATCACGTGCCACGTACAACGCACGTGTCCAACCACTAGTAATATGAAAAGAGAAACCAGAAAGCTCCATTGGGTTTAGTTTTAAAATCATGATTTGAGTATGGAGTTGTAATTTAAGTGTGGAGTTGCGAGTTGAGTTTTGAAAAGAGAAAATTTATTTGGTTAAGAGTTTTAAAATAAAAAAAAAATTGAGTTTTAAATTTTGAATTTTGAATTTTTAAAAGAGTTTCGAGTTTTGAAAATAATTTTGAATTTTATTTTGAGTTTTGAGTTATTGAATTTTGAATTTTTTTGGATTTATTTTGTTTAAATATTTAAAACTTTTAAGAAAATTTTATTTTTTATCTTTTATTTTAAATATTTTTTTTATTTTATTTTTTAAATAATTTAAATTCAAAACACAACTCTACACTTAAATCATAACCAAACACAACTCAAAACTCAATTCAAAATTCATAACCAAACACATAACTCAAAATTCAATTCAAAACTTTTTTCAAATAACTTAAAACTCAATTCAAAAACTTTTCAAAACTTATAACTAAACTCATTTCAAAATTTTATTAAAAAAAAATTTAATTTAATTTTTTTATATTTTGTCCTTTAAAATTTATTTTTTATTTTCTATTTTTGAAGAAAAATATTTACGATATATATATATATATATATATATGGGCAACCAAATATTTTTTGAAATTTAAAAAGAAATTTTTTAAAAAAGTAAATATTTAAAAAATATACAAAAATATTTTTATAAATCTAAAAAAAATATTTAAAATATTTTTAAAATATATTTACAAAATAAAATAAAATATTTTAAATAAAAAAATAAAAATATATATAAAATAAAATTTATATAATTAAAATAAAATAAGAAAATTTTGTAAATTTAAAAATATTTTAAAAAAATACAGCACACAAATGTATGAAATATAGTGCACATTAAAATAAATAAATAAATATTTATAATATAAAATATTTACCCAAAAAAAATAAAACTAAGAAAATTATTAAATATTAAAAAAAATAAATTCAAAAAATTTCAAAATATAATTCAAAACTCTTTTCAAAACTCATAACAAAATAAATTTTATCTTTTCAAAACTCAACTCAAAACTCATAACTCAAAACACAACTCCACATTAAAATCATAATTCTAAAAATATTTTTAAAAAACAAAATAAAAAAGTTGCTTTTTTTTTTTTTAAATAGAGTTTTGAAAATAGTTTGGTTATAAGTTTTCAAAATAGTTTTTTAATTGAATTTTGAGTTGTGTGTGTTCGGTTATAAGTTTGCAAAAATTACCAGCTCCATATGTGATGTAAAAAATTCACTAAAGATGCAAAAAACAAAAAACAAAAAAATTGAAATTTTTTTGAGTCTTTAATGATTTTTTTTTCCTTCAAATTTATTTATAAACATTATTACATTATAGATGTAGTTAAAAAAATAAAAACAAATTTAACTAAAAAAAGAAAAAAGCTCACTAAAGACGAAAAAAAAACAATAATAAATTTTTCATTTCAAAATTGATAATACAAGTATTTGAATCAGTATATTTTAATTTTTTTCGTCTTTAGTGAACTTTTTGCTTTTTTTAGTTAAATTTATTTTTATTTTTTTAGTTGTATTTAATCTAGATGCATCTATAATGTAAAAATGTTTATGAATAAATTTGAAAAAAAAAAGTTTACTAAAGACTAAAAAAAAAAATCCAATTTTTTTGTTTTCTATTTTTTATTTTTTGCATCTTTAGTATTTTTTTACATCACACATGGAGCTGATGCGTTATTGATGTGGCAAATTCTGTTAGTTTTTTGGATGGAAGTTAGTCTAGAAATAAAGTGGAAAGAATTGCGAATATGAAAGGCCAAAGTGGGATAGATTGAAAATATGAAGGACTAAAGTAGGGAAAATTAAACTTAAAGGGTTAAAGTGGGAATGATTGCAAACATGAAGAGCCAAAGTGAGAAATGAATGAAACTTTAGTGGGGCAAAGTGTAATTTATTCTTAATAAGACTAATAAGACTGATGAAATTTATCGTGTGCGTAGGGCTGCAAATGAACTGAGCTGTTCATGAATAAGCTCAGCTCGGCTCGTTAAGGGCTCGGCTCGGTTTGTTTAGTAAACGAGTTTGAGCTCGAATATTAGGCTCGTTTAATAAACAAGTCGAGCTCAAGCTCGCATAAGCTCGGCTCGTTTATCTTTATTTAAATTATATAATAAATATATTATTTATATATTAAAAATATATAAATATATATAAAAATAATAATATCATCTCGTTAGAATCTTTATACTTTCATAAAAAATTCACTTTAGTTCTTGTATCTTTATTAAAATTATACTTTAATCTTTTAATTTTTATCGGTCTCATTGACAATAAATAGACGAAAGAACGACATTACAACTTGAATCAAAATATAAGGAATTATTTTTAACAATTAAAAATAAAGAGATCAAAATAAGATGTAAATTTGAAGGTGCTAAGCTAAGTGTAATTAACCTCTAAAAAAAACTAGAGACTTACGATTTACACTTACGTTATTTCTTTGGACCCTCACTCTTTCATTTTTTTTTTTTTTTAATTTCAATTTTGTGCATTGATAAAATTCTATTTCTATCCTCATTTTTAATCTTCTAATCCTAATTTTTCAAATCTTAACCCTACCATTTCTATCACCTCCAGCTGTCCCTACCTCCAGCAACCATTCTAGTGCCTCTCCACTAACGACCGCATTGCCACCACCTCTTACAACCGCAACCCCCTTTTTGCTTCTTCCGAATTTAGGTTTTCTCTACCAATAATCTGATAGAGAAAAAAATTAGCGGGTTGGGTTGGGTTGGGTTGGGTTGGGTTGGGAAGGTGGCTTAGGGGTTCAAAAAATTAGCAGACCAAAGAAAATAAGGATAGGAATAGATGGCAAAACGTAAGCACAACTTTTCTGGATCTTCCCGGCGGTGGCAAGTCAGCATTACATTACAAATAGTAAAAAAAACAAAACAAAACAAAATAAAAAAAGCAAACAAAAACAAAAAAAACAGCAAACAAAAAACAAACAATCTGTGTGTTGTCTCATTCTGTTTTATACAACAAGAAAACAAAAACAAAAACAAAAACAAAAGGCTAGGCTCAGCCCCCCAGCCATGGCTGCTACTGGTGCATCCTCTTCTACTGCTTCTCAAAACTCTAAAAACAAAAACAAAAACCAAAACAAAACCACCAACACCAAGAAGAAGAAGAAGCAGAACACCACTGGGACTGAGTCAGGTAACAATGCCCTTCAAAATCAACCTGGGAAGCGCAAAAAATCACCCGGAGTTCGAGTCATCCATGGCCGAATCTACGATTCTGTGAATGGAAAATGCTGTCATCAGGTAACCCATCAATCAAGCTACCCATTTCTTGAAAACCCTAACGTGTATACATTTAAACGCACATGATGTTTTTGTTTGTGTGTGTGTGAGCAGTGTCGGCAAAAGACCCTCGATTTTGCGGTGTCATGCAAGAGTCAGATTGAGAATAAACAATGTACCTTTCATTTCTGTCACACTTGCCTCCTCAACAGGTCCACATCTCTCTCTCTCTCTCTCTCTCTCTCTCTCATCTTATAGCTGGTTTGATTTGGTTTGTTGGGTTTGGATTAGATATGGAGAGAAAGCAGAAGAGATGGCAGCATTGGGTGATTGGAAGTGTCCCAAATGCAGGGGCATTTGTAATTGCAGTCAATGCATGTAAGTGCTAATTTTGGGGACTGCCCATTTCATAGTTTTTACTTTTGGAGAATGTTTGAGAGCCCTAAAAATCTTCCCGAATTTGACTCACAATGACATGGCATCTGTGATTTGTCACAAACTCAACTAGATAAAGTGCAACACCTTTGGCACGATATTATGGGTGAATTTGGGATGTAAAGTGTGGGTCTCTGAGCATTTCTGTTCACTCTTTATGTTTTCTTGTACTTTCTTTTTGGTGTTTCTAAATTTCTCTATACCTTTGTCCCAATGCATTCTCGATTGTTGAATCGTGTGTAATTGTGACATTAGTGAATTTCAAAGCATGATTCAATGATGTAGAGTAGAGTTAATTGGGACAAAGGGACATTAATTTTGTTTTGGACGGATGGGGAGTGAAAAGAGGTATGGAGGATCCCATGCCTTCTTTTTAAAGTTGTTGACTTTGAAAATCTGCTCTAGGAAGAAGCGAGGTTGTTGTCCAACTGGGAGGCTTGTGCATGCCGCAAAGGCAATTGGGTTTTATTCAGTGTCTGAGATGCTGCAATTAAGGAACTCCGAGGAGGTCATGGAAGATGTGGGTGCATCATCAGAAAATGAGACTGCTTCAGAAAAGGTCTAGTAATGTCCATTTGGTATTTGGTCTCCAGCTTTACTGTTTCTTGTAGTATAGCTGCATTCAATTTTTTTGGGAATTCTTCATCAACTAATTGTGTTTATAGCCGCTTTTAAATCTTATTAGCAATAGTTGCAGTGGCTTCAACTAGAGGACATAAAAGAAGAAATTCTTCTGATGGAGAAAGTAATCCCAAGCCTTTGAAATCGAGTGACAATAGGAAGAAAAGTCACAGTGTCAAGTTAAAAAAGTTAAGAAATTCTGAAACAATCAATAACTCAATGGACGGCAGCAAGGATGACACTGCATTTACGGAAAAAAAAAGTACCAAGAAATCTAAAGAAGAAAAGACATGCAGAAGGGATGATGGTGGCCAATTAAAAATAGTGAAGTCTGATAAGGAGGGTACCAAGAAAAATCATGCAAGTTCTATTACGATAGTAGACAATGAGGCAAAAATGACCAATAATAAGGGTGCATACAAAAATAAGCAAGTCAATGGATTTCACACGTGTCAGAAGAGGAATGCAGAAGTCAGAGGAAAAGGTTCTGATGTTGAATTCCCAGTGCCTCAAGGCATTGAATTAACAAATGTTGCTAACATTGACCTGCCTGCTGAGGATATTGGCCATGCCTTGCAATTCCTAGAATTTTGTGAAGCTTTTGCAAAGGTTAAGAGAATATTAATTTATTTTATTAATCAGTATTAAACCACTGATTGAGTTAGAAACTGACCCTTTGCCTTTGGTGAAGTTTTCATAGCACAAGTTCCATTTAATTTGTGATTACCTTGGAGTTTTGTACATCATATTTATCAAACATAATTCTTTTCTTCTCTATCAATTTGATGAAACAGAGTACAATATATAGAGATACCAAAAAACTATTTTAAGAAGCTAATCTTAGTCTATACAATATTTAAAGGCTACAATCTGTTGGTATGAGTTGTAAAGGAAAAGTGATATGTTGGCATGGGGTGTAAAGCAAGAGTGTGCTGGACTCACTCCAACACAGCAAGAGTGATATGTTGGCATGAGGTGTAAAGCAAGAGTGTGCTGGACTCACTCCAACACTCCCCCTCAAGTTGGTGTGTAGATGTTTTTAACACCTAACTTGTCAAGTGAGTCATTGAAGTTTCTACTGGAAACTGCTTTGGTAAGAATGTCAGCCAGCTGATCTTCAGATTTAACGAAAGGAAACTGAATAATCTGCTCTTCCAGGTTTTGTTTGATGAAATGTCTGTCTACCTCCACGTGCTTAGTCCGGTCATGTTGAATTGGGTTGTGAGATATGTTGATGGCAGCTTTGTTATCACATAATAAATTCATTGCATAATCAGGAGGAAAATCGACCTCTGTTAGCAAACTTCTAAGCCAAAGAAGCTCACATAATCCTTTTGCCATGCCTTGGAACTCAGCTTCAGCGCTGGACAATGCCACTACCTTCTGCTTTTTACTCCTCCATGTAACCAAGTTTTCTCCCACAAATGTGAAGTAGCCTGAAGTAGACTCTCTATCCAAGATATTTCCAGCCCAGTCTGCATCCGTGTATCCTTCAATATTCAGATGAACGTTCTTGGAGAACATTAGTCCTTTTCCTGGTGATGACTTTAGATAGCGGAGAATTCAAACTACGACACCCATATGATCTTCACTCGGATTATGCATAAATTGGCGTACCACACCTACAGCGTAAGCAATGTCTGGACGAGTGTGAGATAAGTAAATGAGCTTTCCCACTAGTCTTTGATACCTCACCTTATCAGCAGGCACTTGATCCAAATATTCTCCAAGCCTATGGTTCTGCACAATCGGCGTATCCACAGGTTTACACTCTAGTAATCCCACTTCCGTCAATAAGTCTAGTACATTGTTTGAACGTTCACTCGAATCTGAGTATACGTTACCTACACCGTTTGTTTGTACCAAAATCTTGTAGAGAGGAAGTACTTCGGGAGTTCCATCACTCATGCCTTGCGGTACACCCGGGAGGCACTAAAATGTATCATGATCTTAGTCGTCAGTTTTGGTGGAGGGGTATGAAACGAGATGTCTCTTTATTTGTATCGAAGTGAGTAGTCTATGCCATACGTTTGGGTAAAACCCTTTGCCACAAGGCTCGCCTTGTATCGGTCAATTGATCCATCAGCCTTGTATTTTATAGAGAACACCCATTTGCATCCCACTATTTTTTTTCCTTCCAGTAATGGGACCAACTTCCAGGTATTATTTTTCTTTAAGGCTTCTAGTTCTTCTTGCATTGCTTGCGCCCACTTTGGATCAGATAACGCCTCCTCAGCAGTACTGGGAATATGGCAGGAGGATAGTGTTTGAGTGAAAGTCTTGAGCGGCTTGGACAGACCTTGAGTAGATACATAATTTGTAATTGGGTACTTGGACTTTCTTTCCTCTTCATCTGGGCTGTATCTGTTTGGTGGTTTACCACGATTGTGTCTAAAAGGCAACACATAACCAGTAGAGGAATCCAAGATATTAGCATGTAAAGGTGCAGTAGGAGTACTTACCTCAGGGACATTCTCAAGAGGAGGAGGGTCTTCGGGTACTGAGGAGTGAGGGGACCGAGGGTACTCTGTATTTCCTGGTTCTTCAGGTTCTTCATTTCCAGGTTCTTCACATCGCAACTCGACATAGTCAATTTCTGGTGGTACCTCATGTGGTTCAACCTCTCTATTTCCAGTCCCATGCTCACCTACGGGGGCCATCAACCAATTCGTCTCTTCTACGTGAGGCTCCCCCTGAAGGGAAGAAGTGGATACCGTGGAAGGATAGAAATTCTCGGACTCAAGAAATGTAACGTCCATGGTGATATAGGTGCGGCGGGTAGTGGGATCATAGCACCGAAAGCCTTTTTGATGGAAACCATATCCCAAAAATAAGCACCGAACGACACAGGGGTCCAATTTGGTATGTTGATTTTTGTGGAGGTGGACAAAAGCAACACACCCGAAAATTCTAGGAGGAAGCATCAATATTGAAGGAAGGGATATATAAGTAGAGAGAATGTGTAAGGGGGTTTTAAAGTGTAAAATTTTAGATGGCATACGGTTGATTAAGTACACGGCAGTAGCCACCGCAGCCCCCCAATGGTAACTCGGCACTATTGCTCCAAGGAGAAGGGCACGAGCTGTTTCCAAAATATGCCGATTATTCCTCTCGGCGACACCATTTTGTTGGGGTGTTTGAGAGCATGAGGTCTCATGGAGGAGGCCATGGTGTTGGAAACAGGCCTGAAGTTGGTGGTTGATGAATTCGCCACCATTATCGGAACGAAGTATTTGGATCTTGGAAGAGTATTGAGTCTGAACCATGGCATGAAATGCTTGAAAAATGGTGAAAACTTTGTCTTTGGTTTTAAGCTGATAGAGCCATGTCATCCGAGTACAATCGTCAACAAAAATTACAAACCAATGATGACCAGAGGAAGTAGTGATCGGAGATGGTCCCCACACATCAGAGTGTATCAATGCAAATGGAGTATTCGTTTTATTCAAGCTAACTGGATAAGAAACTCGGTGGCTTTTAGCCTTGATACATGTATCACATTTAAAGTCGACATGCTGCAGATGAGAAAATAAAGATGGAAGTAAATGCCGGAGATAGCCAAAGGATGGGTGCCCCAAGCGCCTATGCCATAGCCAAATTTGTCGTTCATGGCTACTGGTTGGATGGTGAGTGTGATTGGCTCTGCCTGGGCTGAAGTCATCAAGGTAGTACAGTCCCCCCCTCTTAGTACCACGCCCAATAATCTCCTTGCCGAGAACATCCTGAAGAAGACAAAAAGTAGAGTATATCAGGACAACACAATTAAGCTCTTCAGTAACTTGACTCACAGACATCAACTTGTTGGAAAGAGATGGAACAAGAAGTGTGTGAGCTAGAGAGAGAGAGGGAGACAGGGGCATGGTTCCAGCCCCTGTGACTGGGTAAGTTGCACCATTGGCGTTGGCAATGCAAGTCCTCTGTGGCTGAGTTGTGTTGGAGAAGTCATTTGGATCAAATGTCATATGATCCGTCGCTCTGGAGTCGATAATCCAAGCATCATCATTCCGAGTAGTAAAGCTGCAAAAAACTTGACCACAATTACTTGGATTTGGGGTTTAGGTAGAACGTGCAGCCACAGGAATAATGGAAAATTGAGATTCAGCCGTGACCACTGCTGCTCGACCTGGGACGTCCGCAGTGGCAGGAGCATCTCGTTTCTTTCAGGCTTGTAAATCGTGCCACCAATATGGGTAGCCATGTAATTTGAAACAAATTTCCCGAGTATGTTTTGTACTCCCACAGTGAGTGCACTTATTCCCATCACAGCCTCCGCCTCAGTTTATAAAGACCCTGACGAAGAGGCAGACACGCGCAATCATGCGCCGCTCGGTGCTCGCCGACAACTTGGGCGCGCCTTTTGATGGCACGCCTTTTTATTCCCATCAGAATGACCTTTGAAACGTAAGGAGGACCCAGACTTGAGCACAGTTTGTGACTGGCCAGATTTCACGCCTTTGATGGTCATAACAACACCACTAGGCACTGCATCTGCTCCTGATATCATCACAGATTGGCGGAGATCTTCCCTTCGAATGTAAGCATATGCCTGCTCAATTGAAGGAAAAGGTTTTAGGCGAAGAACATCGCTCCGAACATGATCCAATCGATCATCTAGTCCGTCAAGAAAAGTGTAGACTCGCTCCTCCTGTAAACTGGAGTGGTAGTTTTGTATGTCAATTGCACATTTCATTGGATTCGGTCGACGAAAATCGATTTCTCGCCACAGGCCCTGTAGACCGTTATAGTATTTTTCTATAGATCCGCCTGCTTGTTTCATTCGAGATACACGACGTCTGAGCTCGTATACCTGCGAGGTTTCAGTGCCATCGAAGTAGGTTGTGGCAGCAGAATCCCATACCTGCTTAGCCGTTGGGTAGTGAATAAAGTTCACGACCAAGGAATGGTCCATGGAGTTGATCAACCAGCCTTTCACCATGGCATTCTCAGTGCGCCATTTACGAAAGGAGGGATCAGTTTCTGGTGGTTGGGGGTCGTCTCCATTGATGTATCCCAGTTTGTCTTTTCCTGAGATGTACATCTCAACAACCTGGGACCATAATCCATAGTTGGAACCATCCAACTTGATGCTGATAGGAACCATGGGGGAATCAGTGATGGGAGAGGAAGAGGAAGAGGTCTGAACCTTTGACAAAACCTCCGTCATTTTTGATGTTAGATTATCAAGGATGGTTTCAGTGGATTCAGCCATGGAGGCTGAGAAAAAAGAGAAAAATCTGGACCCCTATCTGATAAAAAAACAGGGAACCCAAGATCTTGCTCTGATACCATATCAAACATAATTCTTTTCTTCTCTATCAATTTGATGAAACAGAGTACAATACATAGAGATACCAAAAAACTATTTTAAAAAGCTAATCTTAGTCTATACAATATTTAAAGGCTACAATCTGTTGGTATGAGTTGTAAAGGAAAAGTGATGTGTTGGCATGGGGTGTAAAGCAAGAGTGTGCTGGACTCACTCCAACACAGCAAGAGTGATATGTTGGCATGAGGTGTAAAGCAAGAGTGTGCTGGACTCACTCCAACAATATTGCCTTGGTTGATTGCTTCTTTTCAAGTATTTCTGTAAATTATAAAATAATCAAGTGTTTGTTCAGTTTAAACTTAGCTCATGGATTGTATTTCTGATGGAAAGAGACTAAACTCAGTTTTAAATCCAATTCTATGTTTCTACTTTTGCCCGTAAAGTAAGCATTTAACTGTTTCAGAGCATCTAAACTTCCTAGTGAACCATTTTGTGAGAATGCTGGAATTTTTGGTTTAAAAAATAATTGACACATGAAAACCAAGACTTGATACTTCGTCAAAATTTCTTTGTTGATTTTCATCTAATACTCTTCCGAACTTACTAAAAAATTCTCTGGATCTTCATCCAAGACTTGGTGCTCCACTTCCTCCTTAGATTAATGCACAAAAAGCCTTCTTCTATAATCATGTATAAGAGATAGAGACACCACAAATGCCACATTAACCAAATGCTGCCATTTTCCTGAAACCTTAGGTTCTTGATCTAAAGAAAGGGCAACCTGAGTGTTTACTTCGAGAATTAACATGTGGACGTAGTTCACGTCGGAGCAAGGGTTCATCGATTGTTCAGTTTCATATCAAATTGCTCTCTGTGATACAAAAGGATTCAGGGAAACGGTATGTTTCTTTATGTTATCACTTGAAAAATTCTACAGGCTTTTAGCTGACTAAAGTGGTTGGCTATCCCAAAAACAATTTTTATGCAGACATGTCTCTTTGAAAACTGAAGGTAGAAATTCATGGTTGCAAGCTCTTAGTAGATGCATCTCTGAATCCCAGTATCAATCAAAAGAACTGCTGTTGGATTGTTTTAATTTGGCGGCTGATGGATATGGAGAGTTAAGCTCATCAAAGAAGCTCTTACTGTTGAATTTTCTATGTGATGAAGCTCTCGATACAGCGTTAGTGATAGTTTGCTGCTCTGAATTATGTTCTTTCATCGCTGTTGCTTTAGAGAAAAGATTGATAGACAATTATTTCATTATTTTCCAGGGAGTTGAGGAGTTGGATTGATGAACAAAACTTGGAATTTGTTGAGGAAGAGAAAAAGACAAAAGAAAAGTTGCCTGCTGAAAGAGAGAAGGTAATTCACTTCAATTGTGAAATATTAATATTTATTTACCATTGGTATCAGATCTAAATCTGATGTTGTGCGTAGGGGAGGAACATGAAAATGAATCTGCAGGATGAGGTGGCTAGAGCTATTGTCATGAAAAACGGTGCTCCTCTTTCTGTTTCTGAATATCAAGAACTTGTTTCCAAGGTGAAGGCAGAAGTAGCTCGAACTCTTGCAGTGACTCTAGAAGCAAAAGACACGGTGATGAAAAGTATGTTCTGCTCCCTAATTCAATAGCCTGGATGGTTTAATGTTTGATGTCTGTATTGGTCATAACAAAATTTTATATATTTCTCTCTGTTTGAAAAATGGAGGAGGTGATGTTATGATTAGAGTTTTAAAGGGCTTTCCTGAGACTAGACTCGCCTCGCCTCTAGGCTAAGGTAAAACGCATCAAGACTTTGATTTTTAGGCATTACTCCCCAAAGGCTTGCGCGTCATAGTTTGAGACATGCGCCTTAAGTGCTCTTTGTACGCTTTTTGCAGATAAACAAGTGAGGAGTACGCGAGGTTGCCTGGGCTTTTGTTAAGCTTAGTCTATTAGATTGTTTAAACATAAAAAAATAAAAATAAAAACCCTTTTTACAACTATGTTATACAGGGAAAATTAAGTAAATGATCAATTAAAAAAACACAATTAATGGTCAAGTGAGAAGCTCAATCACTAAAGTCAAGAATATCAATTTCACTTTCAGTGAAGGAAAACTTCCTTTTATGTAGTAGAATATTCAAAACCTTAAGGGGAAAAGTATTTACACCTTTATATTTAATTGTTTTTATTATTTTAAAATATTTAATTTATTCATTAAATATTAAAATTTGAAATTTGAAATGCTTACGCCTCAACGCCCTGAGGCTTATGCCTCGCCTCATGAAGGGTGCCTCGAGGTACGCCTTCGCCTTTAAAAACTTTGGTTATGATGCTGCTGCTGATCTGATGATATAGAGGGTATATTCTCATTTATAGATATGCCAGGGAACAGAGGATATGGGATCCCATATATGTGCCCAAATGGAATGTTGAATGTTGATAATGTATTTCGGATATAGCCGTACTAGTACATGTAACCGTACTGGGTTAGTACCCAGTACTCTTATGGCAATATTTTTGGAGTACCCATGTTGCATAGTTAGTAATTTCCTTTTCTCATGGTCTTTTCTTGCTATTTCTATCTGATCTCTTGAATCTTAAGGGTAGTCTAATAAAAAAGCCAATAATTTTTGAAAATCCATACAATTTTTTGCCTTAACATGATTTTTGCATTTGTTTCATAGTTGGTTGCGTAAATATTGCTTGATTTTCTTCAACTGACATTTTACTTTGCTAATGTCCTAAGAGAAACAGCGATCAGATGCTGTTAGGTCAGAGCCTATACTTTTGGATGGAAATGGTCTCAAGTTCTGGAAACTGAGAGGCTACTCTAGCGAAAGGGATATTCTGCTACAAGGTATGTTTTATTTAAAATCCAAAGTTTTTTACTTTCTGACCTAGATAATGACAGCGAATTTGTCTCTTAAGTTCGCACATCTACCCCTTTTTTTGTAATTACTTTTGATATTTGTTTCTATTTTCTTTTAATGTGTAGACATTGGAAATGGGGATTCTGTTACTTTAAAGGAAAAATGGTTTAGCTACAACGTTGAGGAAAGGGCAACCGTTGAAAAATATATTTCAAGGTATGTTTTAACTATCTTTTGTGGCATAAGTTTCATTTATCATTTCTTTTTTGTGTAAAATTTCAAGATTTTTTTTTTCTTCAAAATTGATAATTAAGTTCCCAATTGTTTAAAGAGCCAATAATTAGGGCTGCAAATGAATGGGTTATGAGCTAGAAATGGCTTTGAATATGTCCAGTGCAAAATGCTATCCATTCATGTATAGAATCTATTGAAGCCTAACTCATACAGTGATGTGTCTCTGATTTTTAAGTTCTGACAATGCTTTATTAAAGAGAATTTCAGTTTTATATTTTCTTTTCTTTTCTTTTCTTTTTGGTTGCAGGCAGCTTAGAAAATGAACAAAAGAAGTATTTAACGTCATCTCAACAGTTTATATCACTGTACTGTCCTGACGTCTTGACCATCTTTTGCGAGGCAAGTTTTTGGTGTCATTTGGGATGATGGTTACCATCTTTTTGATTGCCTTCATCTGTTATGATAAATTTTTGAATATTATGAGACAGTTCAAAATATTGAAACCTTCAGGTGTGCTTTGTGATGGCCTAGTGTAGTGACATGTGATTTAAGCACACACCTTTAATAGTACGAAGTTTATTATGATCCCTTTCTCTTTCTCTTTCATTTCAATGGAAAACTAGGGACATCTTGGTTCTTGGCCTTATTTTCACTTCCCTTTTTTTACTACTAAAACATAGTTCTGACATCTTACATACTTATTTAAGGAAACAACATTGGTGGCTCTGGAACATCTTTGCCTAAGTTGGACTTCCATTTGGATGCCACTAGGCTAGGAAGACCAATGGTCTAGATATATTTGCTTTATTTGGTCAATTTGTTGAGATATTGACCCCAAACAACTTGACTGTCTGGCCATTTTGAGTGGTTTCAACGGGCTCAGTTTTGGCTGCTATACCTGACTGGTTTTGTGGCCTGCAATCTATGTAGAGTTGCTTATCTGACCCAGTTGAGCGAAGAAAACTAACAACGTCCCCTGCGCTCAATCTCTTCTCTTTGACGAACTGGTTCCATTCCCTCGTGAGCACGTAACCTTGACTCCTTTTCCAGAATGAGTACTTGAATCTCCAAACTTTTCCTTCATTGTCCTCCATGCACAAGAAAGCACCTTTGGAACTGCTTGCAACGTGCTGTGGAAAGTGCTTCTTAGCTTGGTACTTGGGTATGGCTAGTCGATATTCCTTGATATCACTCCGTGTCACCACTTTGTCAAAGAGCTTCTCTTGTCTAGGGAACAGTAGCATACCTTCTTTCATCACACCTTTGCCTTTGCAATGGCAGCAGTGGTTGCTATCCTCGGCTTCTTGGTAATGTATGTGTTTTTGTGTGTTCGCTCTAGAGTGTGAGTTCATGTCTGAAAACTCCCTTGTATTGGCTCAATGGAATCTGTATGAACTTATGGCACTCACCGTGTGCTTCGGCATCCCAATGTTCATGTATGCACACTATGTTCCGACATGGAGAGAGAGAGAGAGAGAGATTTTTTTACATGTGGGATATACTATAGAGAAGAAGACACAGGATTGCCTAAGCCACAACTCATTTTATAGGAACACGAAGAGCAGTTCGCGAGAGGTATATTTGGATTCAACCAAGTAGGAAGAGCAGTCATTTGATCTAAGTGTCAACCATGTAGAGTTCCAACCGCTATTTGTGTGACACTTGTCATGCCCAAAGGGCCGGAGTATACTTGCGGCCAAGAATAGATACATGTGCATGCCCATTTTCTAGCAAGGATAGAAACAAGCAAAAAGGATATATACTATTTGAAACCTTGGATCATCTCTATTTCGACTTGAACAAATTGTGGCCACAATTGAAAAACAGAGGGGCCTATGATTTCTGTACATTACTAAAAGCATTGTTTGAAACCATCCTTTATGGAAGTGTGTTAGTTGCACAAAATTTTGGGTGCTTTGGTCGGAGCAAAATGCTAGAATTTTTTGTGATAAAATTCAATGACTTAATAAGTGGATTATGGGATAGAGCGCGTTATTTGTCTTTTTTGGATGTAGGTATCTCATTTAACGAGATTAATTTGTTTTTTGATTTGTAGAAATAGAAGAGCAGTGTACAAAATGTAATTTTATGTTTCTTCTATTCTCTCTTTTTAGTAGACCTATGGTTCTCCCATTTTTGTACTCCTTGTTAATTACTCCTAATAAAATTTCATTTGTTGCTGATAAGAAAAACATCCTTTTAGCGGTTTTAATAGATGCAAGCAAAGAGTGGTTTTGAACCATACTTTCATTTAAAGATGTGAATAAAAATCATGATTTGAACCTTGATTTCAATGACATGGCAAAAGTTTAGCCACTCATTTTACTATGTACGATCACAATTCATTTTCTGCACAAAATGAGAGGATCAAAATCCATTAATTGGTTACTAAAATTTTATTGGTTTATTCATAAGTTTTAAGATATATAGCAAAGCATTGTAGCATTCCAACTTTACGAGTGAAAGTGATATAGGGCTTGTTTAGTGCAATTTATTGGTGCTTTTTATGGTTTTTTATTTTTGAAAATTTGTGCTTGGTATAATTTCCGTTGACAATTTATTAAGTAGAAATAACTTGTATAAGTTGTTTATCTAGTAGTTGGGGTGAGACGTTTTCATGTTTTGTTTTTTGATTATTGACTTTTCAACTTGAGAAAAATTGCTCCAAATAGGCCTTTAGATCCTTACTGGTACTTCTTTTGATTAGTCTTCACCTTTATCAGAATATCTTCTTCAACTTGTTGCTTTGGCATTAAAGAATATATGTTCTTGTTTTCTACTCTTGTAAAGAAAGGGGCTCTTAGTGGACCTTTATATGCTAAGAACATCCATAAAGCTTCCTATGGACCACAAGACTTCTTCCTTTAAATTCTGTGCGTCGACCTTTCATTGGCTGATAAATCTATTATGGTTTTGATTTGTCATTGTCACATGCACAATTTGGTCTCCCAAGGTTCATGTAATTGACTAGGCCCCCCATTTGCACAATATATACGTTGATTTGTTTTTATTTTTATTTTTAGTCATTTTTTTTGAAAAAAATAAGTTGGTTTATTTTTGTCTTTAGTAATTTTTAAAATTTCTAGAATCGTATAGCATGGACCTAAAAAATAAAATTGATTAAAAAAGTTTTTAAAATAAATAATCCGAACTTGTAGTCTTGAGAGGCTAGAATGAATAGAACTCTTCAAGCCTAGCCAAAAAATTGGAGTAAATCTTGCTATCATATTTTTGGGGTTACAAATCTTGCTATCATTTTACCAAAAGGGGAAACATAAAACAATCAATGGCATCTGGTATACATCCTTAAAAGGATGTATCTAGATTTTCAACCGTTAGATTTAACTAAATGAATTTGAACAGTTGATGAAGAATGGCATTAAAATATCTAGATTTTCACTTTATTTTGTTTGGATCATGATTCTTGGAGCAATATAAGATTGTTCTCTAGATTTTCACTTTATTTTGTTTGGATCATGATTCTTGGAGCAATATAAGATTGTTCGCTCTTTGATTGCTAAACATCTTAAGGTTGTTCATTGATTTTGACTAATGTTATCAATTTTGATCCATTCAGGAAGCATAGATTTTCAACCGTTAGATTTAACTAAATGAATTTGAACAGTTGATGAAGAATGGCATTAAAATATCTAGATTTTCACTTTATTTTGTTTGGATCATGATTCTTGGAGCAATATAAGATTGTTCGGTCTTTGATTGCTAAACATCTTAAGGTTGTTCATTGATTGTGACTAATGTTATCAATTTTGATCCATTCAGGAAGCAAAAGCCGAACAAAGCTCAAATGCCAAAACAAAAAAAAAAAAAATCTTCCCAAAAAATCATCTTCCACACCACCCCCACCCCCACCCAAACCCGCTCCACTCCTTATCCTATCACTCCCATCTCCTACCTCCTTTCTCCATCTGCTGTCATTCTCTTCTCGTTAGTGGTGGCGGCAAAGATGGGAAGAGAGGATGGGTGTAAAAAAGGCGAGAGGTTAATAATGAGAATATGGTTGAAATTATGAAGGGTGTATAGAAATAAAACAAATTTTTTTTAAAAAAATTTAGTGAGTGTAAAGAGTTAAAAATATTGTATAAATAAAAGCTACCACAAACAACAAACATATTCATTCATTCACATTTAAATATTTAAAAAGAAGTTCTAATTATAACAAATAACAACAATAGCCCAAGTTCTTACGATTCAAAGTATTTATATACCCAAAATTGCAGCAAAGGCCACACAAGACTTGGGAAGCGGTTGGGCTAATGAATTTGATGCTTTAGTGGGCTTTGTTTATGTGTTGATGATGCTCTGTTCTGTTGCCTTGTCTTGTGTTTTTCTTGTGATGTACTACTTATCTTTTTACACCAACAAAATTCTATCCTTTGCCAAAAGAAAAGGTAAATGGGGCTGCATAAGACTTGAAAAATCATAACCTCAATCACATAAGTGTCTCTGGGGTAAATTACTATTGCTTTCCTTGAAGTTTGGAGAAGATATAGTTAGTTCCGTACTTTTGATATAATTACACCAATCTCTCTCAAGGTTTTAATTTACATGTAATTTGTTAGTCATATAGATAAAAAAATGATACCATCATCTCGTTTCTACTAAAAATATCTATTTATACCTTTGTTTATTTTAGTACATATCTACCATTTGCACTAGTTTTGATTGTTTCAACTTTACTACAAGGGCTGTCAGTATAGTTATGTCAAACTTATGGAACTAATTGTATTTTTTTCAAACTTTAGAGGAGTTGAGTACAATTTACCCGTGTCTTCACTAACTCTAAATATTTTAGGTAAAGTACACTAAATTTATTTTGAAATTAAAAAAAAAATTACAATAAATCTAACAAGTTTATTATAGTTATATTTGGCTCCAATACACTAATCTCCAACATGCTTTTGTTCTTTGCAGACTTCTCACAAATTTCATCGAATGGAGCCATGTTCTATCCTCTTTGATAATGGATTACTGAGGTCGTAGTTCTTGTTGTTTTGTGGAATGTTTGTGTAATTGTACTTTTGTGATCTATTTTGGCTACCTTTGTAATATGATTCTCACTGTCATGTGTACTACTTTTCTCTATTAATGAACCTCTCCTTTGCCAAAAAAAATAAATAATGATAAATGAAAAAAAAAGGAAAAAAAATTTATACACAACAATTCTCTCAAAAGTATTATGGGAAATTACAAACTAGTGGTACAGTAAATAATTATTTATATTTTTATGGTGGTGTAAATTTTTTTATGAATAGTGCAAGTCCTTGTGTATGGTGTAAGTCATTCATGTGTTAGGGTTGTATCAAAAAAAAATTTATTTTATTTTTTATCTATAGTGTAATTACTTTTATACTATACCATACCAAAACCGGTTGGTAGCTCGAAATATCAGAGGGTCGAATGGCTCGAAATCCCAAAACGACGTCGTTTTAGGCTTTTTTTATATTCTCTTACCGGTAAGAGAATATTTTCGACCCATTCGACCCTTCACTTTCGAGCTACCAGCCATTTTCCTATACCATTAATCTGCAAGTTTTCCAAGTAATAATAAGTTAAAAAAAAAAAAAGGTACAGATTGATGGAATGTTGCCATGGTGGTATAGTAATGAGGTAGGTGGTGGTATAGAGAGAGAGAGAGAGAGAGAGAGAGAGAGTAGGTTGTGTTTGGTTGTTGGTTTTAAGTGAAAGAGATGAAGTTGGGTTTGTTTGGGTTGTGGTTGTTGGTCTGAAAATATGCCATTTTAGTAATATTTTGGTTAAAATATGACATGAAAAAAATTAGTATGATTGGAATGTTTTTTTGACTTTTTTATGAAAAATATAGAAAAAAAAAAGAGAGAAAAGAGACTATTTAATTTTTTTGGAGTAGTTTTTTGGTTTTTTGACTTTTTTTAGTAATTTTTTGATTTTTTTTAGGCCTTGTTTGTCAATAGGCTAAATGACAATGCTAGGGATACAAAAAAAAAACTATTAAATGTTTTACCAGATGTCTCACATTGGATGTGGCATATCTATGTGAGACATTTGGTAAAACTCTCGATAAAAATGTTGGGCTCTTTTAACATTTTTTATAGACTAAAATATATATATTTTTTTGATCGGGAAAAAAAATTTCATTGTAAAATTGATAAAAAATTGAATCAATCTAGTATAACGGTAGCAAAAGATCTCAGAAAGAGATAACAAACTTCTATAGGAGAAAGAATCCTAGCCTCGATAGAGGAGAGAAAAACCTCTT